GTGCCAAGCAAGTTGAATATTTATGATCTCTTTGCACTCTTACCAGCATGAAAGTTTTGTTTTCTGTACTTGTAAAAAATACAAGACACAAGGAAAGGATTTCAGTTAAGGATATCTTGCTCACATTTTGGAACCATCTCCTCATCATGTGTGGAAGCAGGTGCTCCAAGGCAGTCATTTCCTGCTAGATAAAAGCATTCTGTTTTGATGTCAATTGCCTAGGACATTTTCAAGCAGCACTGTAAATATGCAGTAAGAAGATGTGATCAAGTGAAAAGCATTTAAATCAAGTGATACTTATTTAACCCAGGACTTTTTAAACAGATGTAAACAAAAATTAAAAGCCATGGGGTTTTTTTGTATGAGGATTAGCTAATGAAAAAGACTGGACATGATAATTTTCACTTTATTCTCCCAGGCAGCAAAGGAGACAGACCAACTAACAACTGCATTAAAATGAAGAATGAGGAAAGCACCCCTTGGGGGAGTTTGGGGGTGAAAATACCTGAATTACCAAGTAATCATGTTCTTAAATGCCAATGTGGCATATGCCAAATACTACTGAAAAGAAAAATACAGGCATCTAAAGACTATTTTTAAGGGAAGAAACAAATCTATGCTTGTACTGCAGGAATGGTGTAACAGAGCAGTTAAGAGCTATGACCAGTATTTCCCAAGTTTCCTTTCTACTACTGACAAAAACACTACTTTGATCCTCCCAAGCCTGTTTGAACTATGTTGGTGAATTTAAAGTAAAAACCAAAAACACATACCCCAAACCCCACACAAGAACTCTGCTCCCTTTGCTAAATCAACATCCATCTTAACCAGCCTAAAGCAATCATAAAAACACATATTGAACATGTTGGGAGATACTGTTTTTCTGCCTGAGGTAACCACACGCCTTCTGCCTGTATTAAAAAAGAGTTGGCCCACTTTATAATGCCCACACAGACTGGCATTTGCATTGCCAAGGTCTGGGTTTTTTCCTCTAAAAGTGTGGGATACACTCATCTGGAATATCTAACCAAGTACTTACGAAGATGTTTAAAAGCATTTTTAATCCAATCTACATTGTATTTTCTTCCCTGTTCTTTTTAGAAAGTTAATGTATTGAACAAGCACACATTTAATTCCATCCTTCCCCCATTCCTCATATTCTGATTAATTTAGGAACATTAAGACTCACCAACAGTGCTTTAAATTCTCTGAGCTACTTGGATTACAGTAACTTGTGAAGCACCATGACCCAGAAGAGACACTCATGGAAATGGCAACAAATGATGAAAGGCTTTTATTGTGCAATGATTTCAAAATGCTGGAAATCCCTTTGTATTTCCCTTCACCTTTTCCTCCCCTCCCTGGATGGGAATAAGGAAACAGCCAAGTTATTCTATAGCTGGTTCCCACCACCATAACATTCTGGTTCCCACTGAGCTGTGCCTTCAAGCAGAAACAAGAACAACCATTTACAGCTGCATTCCCATCAATCTACTAGACAGGAAATCACAGATGCTTCATTATATACCTCCTGCTGGCATGGATGAGGTAGAAGATTTGTATAGAAAGGAGAGGGAGACTTGGACAAAACACAAGAGTCATTGTAATTGTCCTCATTCGTAATTCTATTAGCTAATGTCAGCCAAAACATCATGCTACTTTAAGCTTTTCCTCACTGTTAAAAAATACAGGCATTGTCAACAGCATCTCAAGAACCTTTCACAGACAGTGCAAAGGTCAACTACATGAACTTAAAGAAAACAGGAGGAGGGAAAAACAAAGGATCATTTTGTGTGACTGAATTATATTTTATATATAAATAACAACAAGAGGCTGGGGAATTTTGAGACTTGCTACTTGCAATGCTGATCCTGCAATGGGACAAGCATGGGCAGACATGAGTTCCACTGCAGAACTGAGGACAAGGTCTCAACACTGCCCCAAAATACACAGTGTCCTTTCAGTTTCCATACCAGAAGGCCAAGCAGCACACCGCCAGTCTTTCCTGAGGCAGAAGGCAGATTAGTCACATTCAAAATCGAAATAGATTCAGATGGTTTTCCTTTTTCTTGGGAAATGGTTGCTCTGTATTTTTTTTTGTTCACCTACAGCCAAAGACAGAAGGGTAAGGGGGAGAGGGGAGGAGGGAGAAAGCAGAGTTAACTATCATAAGCCTTTTCTTTCCATTGTTGAAGCGCAGTTAAAACTTCTTTTCTTTGATGTGGGAAGATGTTCAAAACATATTTGAGGAACATTCTCAATACCAATTTATTACTAGTTAAGACTGTTAACTCTTCATATTACTGACATTAGAGCACTAATGATTATGCCTGCTCTTAAGAATTTGATTCCTATAGTTGAACTGTACAGAAATACACAAGAGAAAACACTTCAAAGCAACAAAACACCAAATGGAATCTCATGTAACAAACCAACTTTCTCAAAAAGAATCCTTTTTGATTCCCATCAAATGCATTTTTTCCTAATCTCACTTTACTCTGGTGTAAACCTAGGGTATTTTCAACTCAAAGAAATGGAATTACATAAATATGGAAGAATAGAGTGAGAATGAGATATGCTATCTTCATGGAAAAACACAAAGCCGTATCACTCTTCAGCACAACAGCTGGATAAAATTAAAGCTTGCTTCTCCCACGATGGGATGTGGTTTGAGCTGTAGTTTGCATATAATTATTGATGACAAACATGCTACAATAAAGGAGGTGCAATGCTGCTGGTTTTTGGAATAGAGAGATAAGTTACTGTCTCCAACACAGTGATTTTGTCCTTGGCTGACCATTCACAACCCAGAGACCTGTGCTGTGGCAAATCATTGAGGAAAATGAGATTGTCTTCATTTTAGTAACCACATTCAGGAGTGTTGGCAAGGAGTACTGCCAACAGTGAAAATACAGTGAGACTTTCAGGACTGATCTCATTCAGAAGAAACAAATATGTCCTTTCCAAGATCACAGCAGCATTCTGCAACTTTTGGCATCATCCGAATCCAACAGAACATCTGGACTTGGGTATGGAGTTAAATTATTGGATTTGATTTCAAGCAGAAGTAACAAACTACCACCCCCGCAGAACAGCTCTAAACTGGTACTGAGCTGACCTTTGACTAGGTCAAAAATCCAGCAGTTCCATGTAAGCACCACCTCCAGAAACAGCATGTGGTGGAGCAAGCAGATTTCAATACCAGCAGCAGACAGGTACTATAAGCATCTGAGCTTTTTTTTTTAAGAGTCTTTACTCTTAAAAGTGCCCCAACAGACAGCTGAAGGTCTGTGACAGCAGCTGTTAGTGAGGTTTTCTTCAAAACTTACTTATATAGCATATCTATGATTAAAATCCTGAAGACAAAGGATCTGGACACCAACTTTAGTGCAAGTCTTTCTGACAGCTTTTGTTCCTTTTCTTCCACCAGCCCCCCGCTTTTGCTTTCAACAAAAAGCACTACCATTTCAAAAAGTGAATAAAGACCTAACAGAAATTATATTTACATAGTAAGAAATGCTAAAAGAAAAGAAAAGCTATTTATGGATTTCTGTTTGTAATGAACCTTGATATTTCTAGTGTCCCCACATAAACAAAAGTTCAGCTTTCTTGGCTTTTTACCATTTAGTAGCCATGTCCTAGTTCACAAGAAGCACAATATTTTAGTGAATTTAAAACAGCTTTTTCTTCCTCCTGGTTCTTCTGGGTATCTTTACACGAAAAACAATCAATCCCACTGTTATTCCTTTTTAAAACTCTTTTCTATTTTCCATGGCTATTTTGTAAAATACTTGGAAAATGGGTGTTCTTAAAGACTTTAAATACATATGTCTGAAGGAAAAACTAACATACTCAGTAAATCAGCCAGTCAGCATACCTTTGCCCTTGTGAGAATTAGCTATAGCAATTAACAATACATTAAGGGAAACAACATTAGAAACTACTTTTGCTTTTAACGCTGACCATGCAAGAGTGGAACGATGTTGCTCAGCATATGTGTGCATTCCATCACATCTGCAAACACTTGTGACTGGTGATGATGCATGGAAGAAAAAATTGGTGCAGTTTCCTAAATCCAGACTCTATTTACCCTGTTGGCAGTTAGGAAAAAAAAAGGATTTTTCTGGTAAATGGAACACTGCATACAAAAATAATGAGCCCCTACAATGCTAGGAACACTTTCTGATGAAAAAGAAGTCTTTAACACAATGTGAAAATAATAGAGGGCAAGGACAAGCAACTGGAAAACCTGTTCAGAAAAGACATCCTTTATCAACTGATTACAGAGCAGACATTATCTGCTTTTTTTTGTACCAAATCATGTCCAATTAAATTATCATTAGTAATAATAAACCTCAAGTATAAAGCAATTTTTGTCCTATAAAATTGAACCATCTTAAAAAAGCTGAGAGGATGGTTTTGGGTCTGATTTTCTTGCTTTTCTAGAAACTGTAAGCACCACAGGACTTGCTTGAGTTTGAAAGCAGCCCAGTCTCCAAGTCAGAAAGAGACTGGTGCCTCAACTTCAGTTTCTGGCTCGGAGGACTGGGAAATGCTGCTTTCATTTTCTCCATCATTCATTCCCAACTGATGCAGCACATCTCACTGGGGAGGTGCATCAACGTGAAAGGTCAGGCATGTCGTGGACTGACAGTTAAAATCTGTAAGATAAACGCTGCACAGTGGAACTGAGAAACTTTAGAGAAAACCTACAAGCAAGGAGAGGTTTCTTTCGCCTCCTTCATACCTGTACAGGTGTGATGAAGGCAAAGAGGTTTTAGTATGGGAGGCAGAAATCAGAAAGGAATGAAAAACCTTCACAGAACAAAAACCAAGCAATGAACAAGGCCTCGCTAAATTAACTCTGAACCCTTGGAGGAAGAGAAATATTTACTTGCTATGCTTTAAAACTTAAGAATTTAGGTTGGTCAAACTCTGAAATCTTCAGCTTTTCAGGTTATTTTTCTTCTTTAGCCGTATACTATTATCAGTCTTTATCCTTTACCTGTTTGATACCAAGTGATCCAGTGTTCTACTTCTTGGCTCGCTCTTCATTTGAAGCATGGATTTCCAGGGGCTTGTCACCATCTGCATCACCCTTGAGGGAAAAGTACACATGAAATTTAAATTGATGCAACCCACAATTACTGGTTTTGCCAGAACAGAAACCCTCTTCAAAAGCTGAACCAAAAACTCCTTGCAGAGTCAAGTGGCTGATGAGACTATTTCAGTATAACATACTCAGATATGATCTTCTACAAAACGGTTTCTAGATTTTAGCCTTCCTGTAGTTAGCTGAGCAATTAAACCATTTGAAAGAACAAGTAGTTCAACAGAAATGTTTTAATTGACTCATTTTGCCTGCACTAATAACAGAGGATGAATTCCCACAGATTAACTGCTGTTTCGCATTCTCTGAATTCTGTTTGGATTTATACAATAGGTCTCTTTTAGTACATATCCTTTGAGAGAGTGTTCTCACACTTTCCCCGAAATAAATGATAAAGTCAAAGAATGAAAAGAAGCTTGTTAGAGCATCTGTCTATCTATTTGCCAAGTATGCTGTAACAAACAGGCATTTGATTATAGCTTTAAATAGATATAAATAAAAAAATAATACTTAAATGGCCACATATGGCTCAGAGACTGAAGCACATGATGTACAAGGACAGGCTGAGAGATGTGGGTCTGTTTAGCCTGGTGAAGACCAGACAAAGGGGGAACCTAATTGCTATCCACATTTCCTTAATGGCCATTTACATATTCAGAAGAGCTAGGCTCTTCCCAGGGTCTCACACCAAAAGGACAAGGAGCAAAGGACACAGGAGCATGGCAAAGTTCTATGAGATCTAAGGAGCAAAAAAAATGTAAATGTCTCACACTGCAGCAGGAGCACTGGAGATTTTGCAGAGAACTTTCTGAGCCTCCATCCTTGGAAATATTCAACCCTTGACTGCACAAGGCCCAAAACATCAGATCTAGCTTCAAAGCTGTCTCTGCTTTGAACAGGGGGGTTGGAGGAAGTGATCAGAGGTTGCACCCAGCTCCAATTATTCTTAAATTTTTACACATGAAAATTAAATAGCATTTTCTTTTTATCCAAAAATATAATTTTACCAATATGACTTAAATGTGATGGAAAACGTAACAAAAGAAGCCAGAAGAGAATGGAAAACAAATATTTTACAGGGTGGGTGAGATTTATGTCCCAGCACAAAGTAAACACTATGAATAAAGCACCGAGTCTGTGAGATCTTACATATGCTGTGCTGGGGATATAGACTCAATACATCAAGATTTAATTATGAAGATGATTCTTAGATTTCTATTTTAATACATGCCTGGCAAGATCTTCAGAAGATAATTCTTTTCAAACCCCATTTTGTTCTGATCACTACCCTGGATATTTCATAGTATAGGAAATCACACCCACAAACTACACCCACGGCACAATAATGATCCACTCCATAATTTTCCTGTACAGGAATATGTAAGTTATGACGTTTTACTACAATTTATAGTGAATAATCTGAGTCATGATGCCCCATTTTAAGGATTACTCAATCCTGAACAAATGAGCTAAAAATAAGTTGTTCACAGAGGGCTCCGTTTCTCCACTTGCTTGTCCTGTAAAAAGTAAACACGATCTGGGTGAGCTTCCTCCTCCCCTCTGCCTTTTTGACTGGAAAGCGGAAAAAGAACACCTAAACAACACATACAAAACCTACAGGAAAATAGTGGTCTTGCTCAGTTCCTTTGTTTCTGTGAGCTCAGTAGATCTCATCCAGGGCTTGTCTCACTACATGTATTAAACCCAAGTCATTTACCTGAAGCCACTGCTAAACTGCCATTCCTCATACAAACTCATTTACTGAATAAGCAATTAAGATGTTCTTTTGATGCCATCCACTGTATGTGCCCACAATGTAAAGAGTGAGCCCAGTGAGATCGATGAAGCAGCAATATGGGTAGCCAGAAAAGGATGTCTTTTGAGCTAGCATAGGAAATAAACGCACCTAATTTTACAACAAAGTGTCAAAGTCCTCTAGCCACACTCAGAACCAGAACCAGAAGCAAAAAATGTGTTTAGATCAATGACCCAGAAAACAGACCTACTCTGTGCCATGATGCCCTCTCATAATTAGAAGTAGGCACATATTCAAGACAGTCTTTCTATGTCCTGGCTCCACACAACTGCTCCATAACATGTCTGGGTGCCCAGAACAGTTCACACATCAAAGCTCCACTCCATAACAGAAGGGGAAACATTTTGCATCCTTATGCTTCTGACAGGTGTGACTGACAAGAAATCCCCCTAATGCATTCATTAGTAAAGTGTTCAATACACTGGGATTCCATAGGTTTAAAAATTATCAAAATCAAATCATTAATTGAAACTTCATACAATATTTCAACTAAGGCGACCCTACACACTGCTCTGTAAGGTTTCAGTACACCCCAACTTAGATACAGTATAGTATCTAACAGATACATTAAAGACCTAAACTTTAAACAACAAACTTAAAAATATTGCAATTATTTCTCTGAAAATTTTCCTTCCATACAGAGAAAAATGACTAAAAGCAAGCCAGCCTAATGTCAAAAACCCTGAATGTGTGGTGGCTTTTCTCACATTACATAATAGCCAAGTACAGAAATTAGCTTCTGATGCTGCCTTTGAAAATGTCTCGCAGATGGTCAGGTCCCTTTACACTAGCACCTAACCTTACAAATTATAACTCCAAAGGCAGGTATACATCACTCTCATGCTTATGGAAAACTCTTGCAAGGTAGAGTGGCCACCAGAAAACAACAGCAGTTGCAAAAGAAAAACAAAGGCTTGCCTAGACTCACAGATTAATAGTTTACTTTTTCTTCTGTCCTCTTTTGTTTGTAATATGTGCTTTGAATAAAGTGAACATCATTGGTTTATCTTATTCATCCTCCCCCAGTGAATCAGTAACTTATTCTCCTTTTATTTTAGTTGAGCTTTAACTTGACTCTCTCAGAAATACGAAGCACTTTCAAAAACATTACTCAGAGTTGCCCTTAAAAAGTCCAACTTGTCTTTCCCACCTCTAACATTTCAATTCACCACTGCCCAGAGCAAGGATCCAATCCAAGAGGCGCAATAATTTTTAAGAGGTTTACTCTGTTGTTGATCTTACTACCAAACAATAAAAGGAGAGCATATGACAGGGAACAGTGTGCCAGAGGAAGTTTAGACTAGATATTAGGGCAAATTTCTTCACGGAAAGGGTGACCAGGCACTGGAACAGGCTGCCCAGCAAAGTGGTGGAATTGCTATTCCTGGAAGCATTCAAAAACTATGTAGATGAGGCCCTCAGCAACATGATTAAGTGGTGATCTTGGCAGTCCTGGGATAACGGTTGGACTTGATGGTCTTGAAGTGTCTTTTCCCAACCTAGTTGATTCTATCATTCTATGATGACCAAAGTTTTGCTTGTTTGTTCAGAAGCTACCAAAGACAAGTCCCACAAGCACTTGCTGTGGAAAGAAGCTTTCTCAGCTGCTTATGTTGTTTTTTTAAAGGACGCTCAAAACACAAGTGACTTAAAAATATTCCTCTGAAGCACAATCTAAGTTTGCTACAGTCACAGTCTATGATGCTGACAGTAAAGCTCCACTGACACCACAGCTTCCACTAGAGCTTTCAGGTGGGAAAGTTCAGGTCCACAATTCCCCTGATGCTTGTTTGGAGAAAGTGCAGAAAACCAGCACCCAAAACTGAGCAGTCTTTGTGCCTGGAAGCACCCTGCCACCAGCTGGCACTTAAGAAAATACCCAGATGTAGCCACATAGATTTTTAATATTTATATCTTATGGGTATGATAAGCACATATATAGGTTATACATATATAAAAATATATTATTATTGGTAAGTCACAGATGGTTTCTATCAACAGACCAGGCAGGAATGAAAACCAAGCAGTAAGCCACAAGAGTTTCTCTCAATCTCTGGAGCTGTTTAAACAATGAAATGACAAGACAGCGGTGGGGGGAACCAAACCAAAACACAAACCCAACAGTTTCTGTAAGATATTATTATTGGTGGACTGAAGTGGGAAGAGCACACACATGAAGAAAGGAACAGGACCTGAAAAGGAGGGTGATTTTAGAGCTCTAGTGCTGTTCTGCTTTTCCACATTTCGGCCACTTGAGTAAAAACAACAGGTACCCAGTTCAAGTGTCAGGGGAACTGAGAGAATCCAGCAGAGCTGAAAGGACAGCAGAAGTCTTTGAGTGGTATAAAGACAAGACAAAGTGAGAACTAACTGAAGAAAATTGCTTTTCTATGTGCTTCAGTACATTATTAGCTCACTGTCTGGAACAAAAACTGGGTTTACGTGATTTGGTGATGTAACACATGGTCTTACCACTTGAAGACAAAGTCGTATTATAACAAGAGCTCATAACCCTACAGAACAATGCAACAGCACAAATTACAGAATCAGAAGAGGAAGGGCAAAAGATCTGCAAAAATATCAAATGAGCTGACTGATGAAAGGACCAGATTTGTTAGATATTTATATGTAGTATGTATTGCACTGAAATACTGGCTCTGAAATACTTATTTTTAAGCAGTTCTCTGTAAATAAGTTATTATCCTTTGTACAGAAAACTACAGTCCTTCTGTTTATGCTGCTGCACAAAATCCTCAAGCTGCTTTGGTTTGTCCATCCCTCTGGCCTAAGGACAGGTATTAAAGCTGCCAAACTCAGACAGTATTAAAGAGAGACTGAGGGGTGGGGGGGGGGAAGAGGAGAAACTGCAATTTACTGGCCTAACATTTCAGCTAATTCAACACTTTTGTAGGCAGTAGGAGGCAAGCGCAGAAGAAACAAAACGTAGAAAAAGATCTTGAATGAATGATGATACTGGGCAAAGGGACCAGTTATTCACATAGACTACCTTGAAGGCAGTGCAGAGCATTAGCCTTCTTAACTGCAAAACCCCATTAATGAAAGTTTGATGTCACGTAACGCTCCTCAGAAGGGTTTCAAACACATCATTCTAAAAAACTGCATAAAATCACTGGTTGGTATGATTCTCTAAAAATTCTGCACACTAAGTTTAAGATCAACAAGGTTTGAGGGACACATCTTCCATTTCACTGTCACTTCCCCTGAGATTTACAACCTGATAATAGAAACATTAACACTAATTCCACTGATTTTTGTGAAATTAATTCTTGTGAGTAAAGATCACTCAATCAAACAAAAGATTTTCAGAACATAAAACCCTTTAAATATACCTGGCCTCCCAACAAGATGGCTACATTTCTACTTCTTCCCCCAGGTAGAGGAGAAGGTAGGAAAAAGTTGCCCTTTATATTGAGATAAAGTATAAAGAAGCTGAATAACTACTACTGTTGTCCCTTATTAGGAAAATGTTTCATCCTTCTGGAAATGAGAGATGTGAACACTGATTTTTATTAATGGTACTTGTGTAGTTTTAGCAGAGGGCTTTCATCGCGACATCCTGAAGAGCTGGCTCCTTCAAAAAGCCAGCTGCAGGATACCAGAATGCTATATACTGTGAACAGCATATTCAAAACCTTATCAGACTGACTTGCTGCATGGAGGAGCTCCAGCCACAGTGTTTTGAAATGCAGGTCCTGGAATTCGTCTTTCTTGGCAGAACTTCTATGTCAGTTGATGTGACCTCAATTTGGCACAGGTTTTTGTTTCATAAAACTTTCAGAAAATTAACATACCACATCTATTTCAATGACATATTGCTGCACAAACATGAAATTATGCACAGCTGTGGTACCTATGACTACCAAATTATGAGCAATGTAACAAATTAACAAAAGCCAAGAAGAGCCACCCGTATCTTGCTTGACTATTTGCAAGAATCCTTTGTGTAGCAACAGGAAAATGATAATATGAATGTCACAAAACAAACAAACAAAAAGAACAGTTGCTCTGGCACAGCTTCACCGAAGGGGTTACATATGCTGTAACAACAACTCAAGAATAACATTTATATTTGTCTTTACTAGTTAAGGAATCTAGCTGCCTAGTACTACAAGAAATATACATACAAAACCAACTCAATTCTTCCACAAGGCTACCAAAAATTCTCAAATACTTATTTATATTGCTTCACTGCTGCAGATTGAAGGAAGTTTCAGAGCAGACTTTTTCTATTAGAGATATTTGTCAGTGCATGTTCTAGTGATTTCTAAAGCATGAGACTTTTGACAACTGCTGTTCAGCCTCTCCAGACACCAGGGAGACAAAAACCCTCTCTTTAATAGCTTCAGAGGACAAAACCAATGAGGCTGTAGGTTGTATGCTCCAGTTGTAAAGGATCATTGAACATCTGAAACACAGGCAATTTCATCAAGTGCATAGTGCTTCTTCATCTGAGTCACAGGATTTCTGTATTTTACCTTAATCCATCAAGTTAAATGGCAAGTTAACACTAACGATACCTGAACTTCAGGAGAAAACCATTCAATGGCATTTTGCTCCTTCGTACAAGTATCATATTTTGGCAAGTAAGGGGTGTGATTTAAAGATTCTGGAAGGAGGAAGAGAAAGAAGTCTGTTTACTTAGTGGTCTCTGCAGTTTTGCCTGTCGTTTGTTTTTTTGCTGAGGTAGCAAGTGCTTGCATAAGCCTTACAATAAGATGAAAGCTTCAAAAGTTTTTGCCTTCCAATAACAACCATGTGTTTCCCTTTGAAAGCCTGGGACACAAAAACATAAAAAGCTCAGCTAATTTTTACTGATGCTGTCAGTTTGTCTTTCTGAAATATTTTAATGTTGCCTATTTTTTGTGATACTTCTTGGCAGCCTAGGTTTTAGGAAAAGTACAGTACAATTAACTAGCCTTTGTTTATTCAAAGAGCTATACAAGTGCAGTTACTGAAGCACTCAGGGCCAATACAGGATGAGCATTCACTGATGAAAGTCTCCACTCTCATAAAACTCAGCAACTGAATTGAGCATTTCTCCAACCCAGTTTGTTTGGAACTAGTCCCACACCTAGACCTACCTAGGGAACTTGGTCTCATACCTTCAGTCTGTTCAAGCAGAACTGCCTCCCCAAAACATCTCAGTGGCTGTTCCCTTCACATCTTAGGCCTGTGGGTTGAATATGCCATATTGTGCTCAGATATGACTTCTGGATTACAATAAAGTGTGAACTATTACCAGCTGTGAGTTATGGCTCAATCAGGACATCCACAGCAAAAGACTAAGACTTTTAACCTCAGCCATTCAGTGGTTTTATGTAGGAATATGTATATCATATTTTAAAAATCTAATATAAATTCTTAATATACACTACTTTAACACACAAACATAAGCAAATAGTTAGATACCAATACAGACACTAACTCAAAACCAAGTAACGTACACTGAATAATATTACTTAAATGTAGTGCAACTACTCTGTTGACTATAAATCAACTATGGAAGAGCATGGCTGTCGAGATCCTGAGATTTAAAGTAACTAAAGGCACAGATGCCTTAAAACAGTGGTATAGTATAAGCATGGGCCACAGGAGTGCTGCCAGAAAAAAAACAAAAGTCTTCCCTTCTCTAGTGAAGTAGGCAGGGAAATCCTGCTGTATCATTGATGCTTTGTAGAGGGAATAAGGAAAGCTGCTCTGTTCTAAAACAGAAAATAAGCATGCAGACATTCACTTAGTTGTGTTAACAACGTTAATTCAAAAATGCTGTTTAAAGAAACCTCAGTGCTTGCCAAACTCTGGAAAACAAAGTCACTATGTTAGCATTTGTTCTGTCATCAGATGCAGGCATTTCTAAGGCAAGACATCAGCCTGCTTAGTGTAACAAAGAACAGAAATGCCAGACCAAAATAAAACAAACAAAAAAATCATGTGAATGTTAGCCCTACTCCTCATATAATGTTTAACAACTGGAAATATAGAAAGCAGAAACTTTCAGCAGCAACTGTGCCTGGCATATCACCAGGATGACCGGTTCAAGGCAGATTCAAAAGAAACCCAGTATTTTATTGGCAGTCTTCTGGATAAGAACCAATTAAACCAAAGATTCCTAAAATACAGCTGTAAGTATTAGACCAAACAGCTAGTTACCTATGACTAAATCCCCAAGAACTGCATATCCCTATAAACTGCTGGGTTTATGACTAGATAGTAACGTTTAACAGAGCAGCACACAATGGCATCATCATGCCAGAGCAAATATTCATAAATATTCAGAGAAAAAAAACCAAAAAGGGAGTAAATTGCAAACAAGAGTCTATTTTCTCTTTTTCAAATAGGAGATATGCAATGAAAAAAGAAAAAATTATTTCAGATTTTATGGATCTTGTTATCAAATTACTTTGTAAAGAAAAGTTTGGGGTTTTTAAATTCATCAAGACCCTCAGTGCCTGATCCTTCACACTACAACTGCAATAATCCCAACTTTCTTATTAAACACTTAGTAGATCATACTAAAGAAAACTTCCAAACAGCGTATCTGAATGTTTAACTTGAAATAAGCTTAATAATTTTCCACAGCTTAGAGAGAGAGAATGAAATCTCTGTCTGAAATAAAAGCTGAATCAGAGTGGAAAAACCCCTACTATTGCTCAATATTATTTTCCTGAAAATGCTACAAAATTCAGACTTCTCTGTCTGAGACTTCTTACCTTACCACTTTTTTCCACAGATTTCTTCTTCTTAGGATTATCCTTCCAAAGAGATTCTACAGCAATATATCCCTGAAGACTCCAGTCATACAGCTGCGTACCAGCAACCTTTGAAACAAAAGGTATCAGAAAGCACAAACTTAATAATCTGGTAAATACTATCTTGCTTCTTATTTAAGTAGAAGAAGACTCAAAATACAAGATCTTTAACATCCTCCTGTTAAGGCTCAAGGTGTACAGCATTAATAAATATCTTGAAAACAAATGACACATGAGGAATAAGACGACCCAATTTGCTAAAAAAACCTGTTTGAAGACTAACTGAAAATACAGCTGTATAAAAAAGGGGTGGAATGATGGTACACAGAAACAATTCTGTTTTTCTTAGCAGTCAACGTTCTACAGACTTAACATACACAAATTATTTCTTAATTTGACCATACTAATTTTAAAGACAATGCCAAACCTGCTTATTTTGTCACTAGATTGCAGCTTCACATTCTCCCTGTTTTGGGAGAACAGTGAGAGTACTCCTTTGTTTCTTTTCATTTACTATTTAGAATAAATTTGCTGATAGATGGCTGTAACAAATAACCAGCTATCACCTCACAAATCAGAAGACAGCTAGAAAAAATGGTGTTTGCTGTATTACACCAACAAGAAATTTTATGACTAGAAGGATCCCAAAGTCTAATAAAAGAGTACCTCCTACCTCTTATATGATACGAGACTGTAATATTCACAGCATCCTTTAAAACTCAAGATGTTAAGACTCTTACAACTTCAGACTCAGGTCAGTACTCACTTTCATATCACTCTTTATTTATAAGAACAGCAAAAATGGAGATTGTGCCCAACTAGAGAGCTATTAAATTAAAAACTTATAAAATCAAGAAATAAGAATATCACCCGATTTTCCACAGCAGGCAAAGCTGGAAAACCAGGACTATGAGAAAAGAGCATGCATAAATGGTGTTTCTGAAACAGCTCCTGAATGAGGTTTTTCAATTTCTTTCAGTCTCCAACAATTTGCTGCTCAGAGATTTCCTGAGACAGAGGTGATTTCTATGTGTATAACAATGCTGAAGAATCTCCCTCCTAAGAACTTGCTGCACTTCCTCTTGAACTCCATGCAAAGTTTTAGATCCACAACATCCTGTGCCAAGTAGTTCACTGCTGGGCACACATGGACTGAAAAATAACCACAATAAAGGGGGGTGGGGGGGTTGTCTGTAATATGACTGAGGACACAGCTAGCAACATAAAATGAGAAACATTTTTCAGTCCTGGTAGGTTTGTACTGCTTAAACCACTGGTCACACTATCTCCTCAGATGAGTCATAGGCTCATCTGACTTTCAAAACTAGTCTGTTGAAGTACTGAAAAACACAGCTCAAGATAGACTGTAAGCTGCAAATTCAAGTCAACAGGAACGGAGCCAGGCAATTTTTATAACTACTCAATGCTCCCTATGGATCAGAACTACAGTTAGCAATTCTTTATCTACATTGCATACTGGGAAACCAAGAATCTGCTGGCTTTTCTACATTTCTATTGTGAAATTGCATTATGACTACTCTGTTAACAAGCATTTCATTCTGCAGTAAACATGGATCAAGGGAGCCCAACTCCTTCTGTCCCACTCTCAGTTCCTGTAATTATATCATGCTGTCAGTTGCGCAAGTACAACCAACGTATGCTGCATGGACTGAACTGGGCAAGGGATGAGATGTAGGTTCCAGAGACATAGAAGTAATTTAGTTTGTTAACAAAGAAATAAACTTATGTATTAGGGAGCTTTTCTTTCTTTCAAGAAAAGGGTAAGCATAACACACATTACTTTAGGAAATTTCAGAATTTCTAGTAACAAAGAACAAAAACTAATTCTAACAGTTAAGACACTGATGTAAGTAATTTCATAATGAAGTTTTTTTCCAGATGGGAGATAAGCCACAGTTGATAGAAAAATATTTAAATATATTATGATTAGCTGGAAAGCAATACAGCTCCAGAACACTATTTAAAGTTCCACTAGAAAATACATTTCAGTATTAAATTCAGTTCCCTTACCACATATAACATCTGACCACTTGTTCAAAGTTAAACAAATTGAAGTAATACTAGCAGTAAGGAAATAAATCCCTTACAAATTTGTGATTTATAAGAATGATTACTAAAGCAGAAAAAAATAGTCTGTACATTTCTTCTATCTCTAGTTAGAGGAGCAGTGTCTGAAAACCATTACCAATTATGATCTGTTACTGTGACTTCACTTAGCAACTCATACATTTTAATTGAAAGAAAAAGGTTTTCTTCCAGAGAGACTCAGCAAGTGTTGTACCTTAACTACAAATATATTTTACTGTGTTTATTTCCAGCTCTCCAATGGACAGTCTTTAATAAAGATCAGAAGTAAAAAACAAAAACCACACACAAAAAACAAAACCAAAACACAGGAAAACTTGGTCTTCTAAAGTATGTTCAAAATTGAAAGATTACAAAATGAAGCAGTGATGAAATACTCAAGTGTGGAAAAAAAAAAGTACATAATACAGAGAATTAAAAAAAAATAATACAAGTTTAGTTCCAGAATATTTCCTATACGGTTCTATTAATTTGGCAAGTGAGCTCTGCAATGTAGGCATCCCTTTCTAGGCTTTCATTTTATGAAAGGCCTATGAAACATTACACAATAATTACTAGAGAGAAAAGTGCTTCCAATTTGAGATTAAAACATAAAAATCATGAATAGTAAGACCTGACATGCTTAAAATTTTGCTTCTTCAAAGAAAAGTGTGAGAGCAATTAGAGGAACCAAAACAGTATTTAAGATATCACTCTCTCCACAGAAATTTCCAAACTCTTACATCCAGTGTCCTAACCAAGTCAACAAAGCTAAACCTATTGGAACCAAGTTTCAGGCTCATGGTCTCATATCAGATGTTTTGTTACAGTCAGAATAAGAACTGTGAATTAATCAAAGGGCAATCACGCACTTCAAAGTTTTCATAAAATAAACAAAGAATTGTGAAGCTGTTTGTAGCAAATCCACAGTTAAGACTGAACCAAGCTTCTATAAAAACGATAACATCAGTTTGAACAACCTTCAATCACTTTCCACTTCATTGTTTAGAAGGCAGCTAGAATTTTAATACACAGTTTCCATCAGAAATGTCTCAGCTTCTTCATTTTTGATGGTTTAGTTTTGGGGTTTTTTTCCTCTGCTACTTGCATAATTTTCACTCCCTGAGAACAAGTCAGCAGAACTGTATTTAGAGCATCCGAATCCTGGAAGCACTAAAAAAACATTCCATCAAAGACAAGGGTATCTCAGTGCTGGCAGAGTTCAAAAACAGTGCTTTTGACTCCTTCCTACATCAATAACCTTTCAGTTTTCAAAGAACATCATATGTTCTTGAGAATGTCGTATTTACACCCTGACATCTGTGTCATTCACAAGTCATCAACAACCAGATAGGCAATTTACCAAAGCCTGAAATATAAAATATTTCTGACACACCAAATTACATGCACTGTGAGTGGTTAAAAGTTGTATTTGAAAACGAATGTGGTGGAGAACTGAGGAACTGCTAGTACAACTCAGTGTGGACAGCAAGGCACATGAACTGAGATCAGAGGGGGCTGTAAGCAAATTGCCTGGTCTTTTTGGTTCTGTCACAGGAAATCCACTTCAGAAACTTTGTTTCTTATGTGCCTGAAACAATGCATAAACAGGAAAGGCATCAAATGAGCAGCAGAATCCTTATCTCATTCCAGAATGTGCATGCTATCTTAAAACTCTACCCAACAAAAAGCAGAAAACATCAACGTTTATCTCAAAAAGTTGTTCCTATGATTTTGCTGGAGTGTCCCTCCCCTTTTTTTATTTCTTCCTTTCTTTCACACCCTGCTGTCATTTGCTTTCAAGATTTCAAGTTTCCTTAATACTGTAAGTAAACATGCAAACTGTACTTACTAAGCATATTTATGTTAATTTATAATTACTTGACATTATAGATTCAGAAAGAAAATCATGTTCCTCAAAAAGAAGAAACTACTACAGACGTTAGAAAAGTCACTGAAAGAAACAGAACATCTGACCGTCTTTCCAGTCTAGACTGCGTGTTCTTTGACGAAGTAACCACTGTCTTAAGTGCCAAGCACACTGATGTGGCTTTCAAAAATGGATTACCAGTTAATCTGAAGCTAGGAGGCAAAAAACACTTCTCCAAAAAAAGGTATCATCACTGACCTTTGCAATAGCAACCGCTTGCTGAGGGTAATATATGGAGGTACCAATACCCATGAGACCCGCAGGATACACTAGCTTCTTTACTTTTGAGCCTGTTTCATGAAAAAAAAAAACAAAAACTTTGTTAGAGTATATGTTAACTATGACAGCCAAATGGTCCTAACCTTTTACTTATAATCAAAACAATTTTATTAAATACAGCTTATCATATTTTCTGCTCAGTGATAACTGGTTTCTTAAGAAAGATGATTACTCTGATGAGTTATTATTCTTTTACCCTTCATAAGAGAATAATTTTATTAACATATTTCCATAGTGAAAAGTACCTTACAACTCTATTTACTGTAGGAATACATAATTTATTTCATACTGAGGTAGAACATTGAATAATGAAATAAAAGCCACACTTAAAGAGATATTTAAGAGAATTATACCGATACTCCTTTCTAAACTAAAAGGAAAAACTCAGGCACAAAAAAGGTTAGGATACCATTCTTTTGATACATCAAGCAGAACAAGAGACATTCCAATACAAACTTTCTAAGTTACTTTGACTCACAAATACTGATTTTCCCACAACTGCTCTTATAAGTAATTTGTCTTGATTCACTATGGCAATTTGCAAAGCATTTGAAATTACTTTTAAAGTACTTCCAATTATGTGCATGCTTATTGCTCAGTCCCCAACTAAATTTTGAACATTTTAATCAATTTGAATTTCTATTCAATCATACAAGTCTAAAATAATTTAACTGTCTGGAAAGTTCATCCTCTTATTACAGCTGGGCACAGGTTGCGTATCCTGGCTGGCCACTAACAACAAGCATCACTATCAGTCACGGGGCATGCTGCAGTTTATCCAGTCAGAAAGGAACATATAAGGGAGCAGGTGAAGGAGAAAAGCAAATAGTACAGGAGAAAAGAGGTCACAGATCAGGAGTCAGGACACAATGGTTCTGTTCCTCACAGAACAACCTGTTCTATATGTGAAGCCATATGCACATCCAATAAAGGAATAAAGAATTTTGAAGAGGAAATGCATATTAGAAATGTTTCCACTAACATATGCTCATAATGAGATGAGAAATTTCACAATAAACAAGAGACATCTATAAAACGATGTTGCTAGTCTTGTGAAGAAGGAATCTGGTATCAATCAGCTATAAGAAAGCACAGAAAAGGTAAACTTCATTGCATCTTTACAACCAGGAAAATTCCAATTCTTTTGTAGTTTCTGGGAATGAGTAAATCTTCCTTAGTGATAGCTTATCAGTGTGCCTATAGTATCACTTTCAGAGTAAATGTAACAGTTGGAGACACTAATGCCTACCAGCAGGCTGCTACTTGCCGGAGATGCCCATTAGAGGATGTTTAATACCTGAAGTTTAGGAATACTCTCATATCTATTTCAGTGCTACTCAACAAGGTGCTTCCTTCCTCCCCCCATGTGACCTGTTATTTCCCATAACCTGCTCAAGTGATAACCACTGGCGGTTCTAATGGATGCTCAAAGTGGAATCAAGGGAGACGTAACAACACAACAGCCAAGGGCTAATTTAAGCAATGCACTCACTTAACTGCAGTGCTGGTCAATACCTGACTCACAAAAAATCTGGAATAAACTAACTTCTGTAGTTGGTATGCAAATATGACTAAGTCAATCACAAGTAGAGAGCAGTCCAAGAGCCCTCTGAGTTCTGGGCAGCAGCAGGCTGCATGACAAGATCTCCCTTCAAGTAGAGACACTTCTCAAGGTTACGCCTGCTGTAGAGATCCTTAGTCCTCAATACTGAGAGATTCCTTACCATAACAGGTCCTTGGTAAGTGACTAATAGCTTGCTAAAGTTTGTAAGCTTCACTAAGATTACATTTTGGGCTGATTTTGCACATATAAATCTTTAGGCACACACTGTTGACCAAGTCAGGTACTAGAACTGGATCTACCTGCACCTAGACTCCTCTGAGTAGGAGTTTAGAAAACAAAGGGGTCCTTTCTGAACCTTGTGACTCCGAGGTCTCCCTGACACATCTGATTTACCCTGTCCTCTATGCAGTATACATTATAATCAAGCGTACTTTGCCACTGAACCTTACTGAATCACTGTTGCATTTACTACCAAACTTCGTTAAATTGCCATTTGGTACCAATAAACACATTGCTTCCTCTGTCTTACAAGTGTGCATCACAAGGTTAGAACAAGCCATCTTCAATGTTACTTTAAACCAAGCTGTATGGCTACATAACATTAACGTGATTAAACTCCGACTATCGTACTTTCTACTTAGTGGGCAGCTGTATCTTCAAGTGTTATAGCCAGACCTGGAAGATTTTATCTATACAATCTCTAAAGTGAGACCAAAGAGGGAAGAGGATACTTGGTTCTAGTTTTCTGTAGCATCAAAATTTAAGGTCACTTCCTTTTATTGTTTGGATACTCTCTGGAAATATCAGTAGTGGAAACCAGACAAAATATATATATTTTATATTTGTTATACATATATATATAACCAGACAAAAAGTTTTAAATTATGGCTCTCATTCTAAAAGATTTACAAATCAGACATTAGTATTATGAGGGATTTTTATTAAACTTGGGACCCTGCAATCTTTCAGATCCATACTCAAGACTGCACTCCACTCCCCCTCCTGTTTTGTTACAATTGTAAAGGCTGGAAGTTGCTTTCGTTCATGATCATGTTGCTCAAGATAGCAGAGATTTGAAAAGTTCAAATGTGTGAAGTTGGAGACCTTGATTGTAGTTTTTAAAAAAATACTGCTTTCATCATCCTCACTGGAAAACTGAGTATTTTGAGATGGGCATGTATTTACAGAATGCTTTCTGTTTCTACATAGCCAAGCACACACTTTTAAGTTTGTTCAACATGTACAGGCCCCAAAAAAGTGTATTTCTACCCAAAGCAAGTCCCACTGGTATTTAAATTATAGAATTTTATAGTTCCACTCTCTACAAGTCTTCTTTTTGTGTTACTTCATTTCACTGTATTAAGAATATCTCAATGCAAATACAAAACGCTTTTCCACAATTAACATTTCTATGAAAACATGAATGTATTAATTTCTTCAAGTAGCGTGATGAAGTTAACTGTATCACTTTTCTATAGCACAAAATGTGCATGTACTTACAGTGTAATCAGTTCACAAGTGTTTTTGCTGAGTATCACCATACGCAGCAGTTCTGTGCCTGGGTAAACAATACTTTGAAGGAACTTGAATATACAACTAATTGTAAATGTATCATAGTTCAGAAACCTCTGTATTTTACCATAATTTATTCCTTTGTAGTCTGATGGTTATGAAACACCTTTTACTTGAAGTTTCTTTATAATTGGAAGAACATTGTAGAAACATGCTTGTACAGCTAAGTCAGATCTCACAATTAAAAATTAGTATCCCAAACCCCACAAGTAAATTACTTATCTAAAATCAAAACATAAGCAGTTCAAAAGGTTCCCACTTACCTCTAGCAAGAAACAATCCAATAATTCCAGCGAAACCTATCACACCAAGCCTTGGATAAAATCCAGCAGGGGGGTTTTGGAGAAATTCATAGCCCTCTGAAAAGGAGTCAGAAAGAAGTGCTTTAATGTAATGTGAAAGTGGGTTTTTGATAAGGAATCATCAATACATGCTGGCAATTGTTACAAAACAAAAGAGTTATCAAAACACTTTTAACTATTATGCAAATTTAAAATTTGCTGGCATAAAATTCAAAGCCTTTGAGATCTTCTCAGTGACACATGAATGAAACTGAAGATCATATTGTATTTACCAATTTTCATAGAAGCCTTTGCTCCTGGGCCATCTGTTTTGTTTTGCTCTTTTGCATCTCAATTGTGTCTTTTTCAAATTAGTGATAAAAAAAAGCTTTGCAAAATGGATTCTTACATTTACATGTTAACAAGAATTAGTTTCAATAAAACACTGTACAAAACACAAATCACAGAACAGAGAAAAGACACAGCCTAAACAAAGCTCACTCCAAGATGGGAGTCTGATGGGTGAATGGAACAGTAGGTAAAATCTTCCGTACAAAGGAGTTCAAAAGACTGAGACTCTTAAGTTTAAGGAAAAGAGGTGCAGTATCTGAATGAGCTCTAGATAGCATCCAGGCTTAGTCCTGACAAGCCTAAGGATGACAATATCCTTCCAAAACAAGAAAAAAAAAAACAAATTATTTTTGATTAATTCAAAATTCCTCAGAGATCCAAGGAAGTAAACCAAAACAAAAGGGCTAAACGTTACAAATGAAAGACCTAATGCTTCTGACAACTAATAAACACTGAGGAAGTTTCAGTTCCTAGGCTGGGCCAAGCAAATGGCTGGGGATAAATGGTGAGGGTTTTTTTCCCTCGTTTTTCTGCATATTGATCAACAGAGATGCATGTCTCAGATTTTAATTTGTTAGAAATATAGTGTTATTATGACCTACAAAGGTAATTTAAACCAGTAATACAGTGCAAATAGTCCTAAATGCATTAGAAATTATATCTAGAATGATGCTTACTGGAACTCCCTTTTAACAGAAGATACAGTACAGTCCTGCATTTTAAATTACTAATTAAGAAAACTAAACTGATTTACCTCTACCATGCTCAACAGCTTTTTCTAATTTGGGCATAGCTTGGGCATAAAGATCCTAAAAAAAGAGAAAACAACAGTAAATAGATACCAAGTGAGTAAAATATTTACTAAAGATTGTAACTGACCTGATGAATAGAAAAAGCGTTGGGTCCCTAAAATAACTTCTTTTTATTCCCACTTCCACCCTTCATTTAGAGCACTATGCTTGCTCAATGTTATGTTTGGCATAACTTACAGCTTTTTCTCTAAGCAGTCTTTGCACACAGGTGAAATACAATGCCTCAAAACACAGAAGTCAAATTCAGTATTTCATCAAGCTCCTGATCACGTAGCAAAAACTGAGGATTATCTCAGGTTTCTCAGTGTGTATAGAGAAAAATATCACAAAAATACTTCAGCTGATGCAAAGAAAGGAAGTACAACTCCTTCACAGCACTTCACAGGAGTACACAACTCATTCTGCAAGGTGATAAATTCCACTTGCAAGAGATTGGGCCAACAAAATTTCAGATCTAAAATCAAGACCTTAGGCCAACAAAATAGCATTTTGGAAGTGACTTGGTAAACAAGATGTCTGCACAAAGTAAATCAACAGCACTGCATCGACCTCACAAACTAGTTTTAGATTTATTTCAGACTGAAAATACGCAGGAAGTGGTGACAGAATTCACATTGCCTTTTTAAAAAGTAAAAAAAAGAGTTCTCAAGAAGAACAATGTTGCTAATTCTCATTATGCTGACAATCCTTCAAAAAGATACTGTAAGACTGTGTCAGTCAGGGAACAAATTCATAAGGCTGTATGCCCAAAGCTAAAGCGGAGAATGATCTTACTACACAAGTTGAGCTGTATCTGTGGAGAAATGAAAGCATTTGTTCAGGATACTGCATGGGGATATCATCTGTAGAACTTTCATTTCTTCACTGGCAAGAGTGACTCAGAGTCAAAAAAAAAAAAAAGCTAGCATGTGGCATAATATAACTCTAGATGGATGCTGGGCAATGAAAAAGGAACATGGTCTAAAAGACCCCAGAGACTGAGTCTGATGATCTGTCACAGCTCACACATGACTGGCTCATTTCTACACCTGCGTTTTGAGCTGACTTTCCACTACAGCTAAGAAAGCAATTTTGAAAAAATAAAATGGACATACTAACATAACCAATTTTATTCACATTATCCTGGGTTATGTTTTTAATTTTAAAGATAACCAAGATGCACCTAAAATATTATTTTCTTTAATACAGCAGGGGGCAGGGTTGGTGTTAAGCCAAAACTACCTCTGACTAGAGCTAAGCAAGAAAGATGACCCCAAACCCATAAAGTTTACATGCCCACTTCATAAAATGAGTCAGTAAACCACTGCCAGGAAATGGTTTGTTGTGTGTGAGGCAGAAGAGCACATCTTATGTAAATGATCACCACACAGACAAAAAATTAAGCAAATAAGAAGACAACAGGCCAGTGAGAGACAAAGCACTGTTCAAAGCTTACCTGCAGCCAGTCCAACTGGGCAACTAACACTGACTCAAATTTCATTCCCAGTTACAGTTACCGCAGGCGACCAAGGAGAGCCCACGCATTTAGGAAATGAGAGCTCTAACTATTCTATGGAAAAATCCCCCTTCCGCTTCAAAACTGAAGTTACTGCTCCTGCTGGTGGCACTTCAGAGACACATGGCTATGCTGAGTAACCCTGGGTTTTCTGATAAAATGTTTCAGTACTGTTAGAAGTTAGTACTACAACACAGACCCTTTCTACTTTTCTAGGCAGAACACCACCCTGATCTGAACAGCTTAGTTTTTTTACGGAGAACTGGAAAACCAGCTTGCAGCTGAAGAAAACAACTCACAACAGCAAGGATGCCCTTGTTTCAAAAGTAGGCCTCAATATCTGCTGGGTCAGCAAAGAAACAAGAAAGCCATCATGCGAGTCTGCAATATAATACCAGTAATTTAGACCCTGATTACAAAGATCTTGATTTTTCTCTCTGCTCCAGAGACTATTTTAGTATTTTGTGACTTTTGAGAATAAACACGGTACCTAATAAAATATGTAAGAAAGTTCTGGGGTAAGGTCTGGGAGCTAGGTTTGCCACTACTAGTGACCTGGGATTTTCTCTCTTCCAGAGAGCCATATTCCTTCCCTCAACATTCCAGTTCAGCAAATATTGATTTATTTTCTGCAAAACTGTGTTTTGTTACAGTTGTAGCAAGGACAACTCGGTACTACTGCTCCAAAACACACTGCCTGATAATTTAAGGCCTTCTCTTTGACCATGGAAAATGCAAATTTAATCACTCTCTTGTCTTCCTGAGTGGCAGGCCAGTACCTAACTCCAGATATTCCTAGATATCTTTAAGCTTGAAGTTTATTTCAGATAACAATTCTAACCTTTAGTTAATTTTAATTCTTTTGGATACAAGATACAAAAAGCACAGGTTCAGTTCAGCAAATTAGTGGAAAGAAATAACTGGGTTTGTGTGAGGAGGGGCTAAATATTATGACCCAAACTCTGGAAACTTTTAAGTAATGCAGCATTTTAGAAAATTAATTCTGTTGCTAAGAAAAAAAAAAAAAAAAAATCCCATCTGAACTCTTACCCTGAACTGAACCACTACCAGAAGTGATATAAACCCATTATACCTGACACCAGGCTGTATATGGCTCCATAACATGCCGTAAATGTGAAACCCCCTCTTCCAATTGGGTTTGTGGATTCTCCACATATTTAGTCTCACAAGCTGGAGAGGAGTAGAGTGACAGCTGTAAATATTAGCAAACAAGAGGTTAAAAAACAAAGGTGTAATTGTATAAGTAGGTCTTCAGGGCATAAACAGTCTAACCAGAAAACACCTAACACAGCGCTTACTACATAAACAATGCACAATAAAAATTCGGGCACAGCTGTGAGACAACCATTATGAGCAAAGTTTAATTATATACTATGATGAAGATGACTTCTAACTGCTATGCAATTCATCCACGGCTGCTGTATGATCCAAGTCACAGGTTATAAATTAATATTAAACGAGTTTAATAAGAACACAAAACATAATTGTGAAAAATGCTTCTGGTCTTCATCAGCACTTCTGGGTTTTCAGTTAACATGCTAAATGTACTAGAAATCGCAATCGATCATTTTCTATATTTGCACAAGCCATCATTAAGGAGTTTAAGTAGCTTCTAACAAAGGTAACATCCGATATAAATCTGCCTGTTTGTTACTGAGCAGGAAAATGGTAGGACATCCTAATGCTGCAGTCATTAACCACATCAGCAACTGACAGCATTAATAGCACCATGGGGCTAAACGAATAGGAACTGTGACATCCACCCGAAGACCAATGGGCATCTTCACATAATAAATACTAAACCACCATATTTAGGGTTTAGCGTAACAACGTATTTATTACAGTTACCTAAATATATTTAAAATTGTATTGCATTTAAAAATAGACCAAAGTCTATACTGTTGAAGATCAACAGCAAAGTTTGGATCAAAACAAAACCGGTTAAAATTCCTAGCAGTTTATCACAGAATGGTTTATGTTGGAAGGGACCTTAAAGCTCATGGGCAGGGGGACACCTTCCACTAGACCAGGTTGCTCAAAGCCCCATCCACAGCTTCTCTGGGCAGCTTGTTCCACCCTCATAGTAAAGAATTTTTTCCTGATATCTAATCTAAATTTCCTCTGTCAGTTTAAAGCTATTCCCCCTTCTCCTGTCCCTACATGCCCTTACTAAAAGGCCCTTTCCAGCTTTTTTGCAGGCCCTCTTTAGGTACTTGAAGGCTGCTATACTGATGTTTAGCATAAAGAGCTTGTATTTTATACCACATTTAGTAGTTTATTATAAACTGATTGTTTACCCATATAGTTGCATCAAAGTGTGGCTAGCCCTCTTTCCAGGGTAAGCTGGAAAACATCTGTACCTCTGTCACAATTAAAAAAAGCTGCTAATCATAACAAAATATATGACAGAGAATCTGTCAAATAATTTCATAGCTCGTGCAGCTGGATTTCCCATGCTATTTTGAACAACAGGCACTTTAATTCTCACTTCCCTAGGAAATCCGGTCATCCCTGGCAATTATATTCACAATCAGTTTAACTTTGATCCTGTTACACAACATAAAAGCCATGTCTGGCATGAAGACAGAAGCATCAGAGATAAGGAAATTCCCATATATTTTATGAAACTAGACCGCTGACAGAGATCCAAACTCACATAGTCTGTGAATGGTAAGAAAGGCAGCCAAAACTCCAGGGCTTGCACATTCTGCTTTGCTGAAGTTGATGGACAAGCCAATTATTCAGTACATATGTAACTTGAAACTGTTGCCTCACTACTGACTCATGCCAGTGGTGGTATAGGCACGCGACAGCCCTACCTAAGCTTACTTCACTGGGGTGAAGCCAAGAGACCGCTTCAACTACTGATCCTGTCATATTAGGCCACTGAACTGACCATTCAGACACATCCCAAAGACCTGAGTGTACATTCAGTTTCACTGCTCATGTAACAACACTTCAGCTTGGGTTGAAGTACTTAAAGTTTTTAAAAAACTGCAGACTCTCATAGATATACAGCTGTATTTAGTTATGAACTACAATATTTATTGTATTGTTTAATGTTGGAGACTGTTAAAAGCCTATGCAACAATGCTGAGTCTCTAGTTTGACAGGGTGCTATAAAGTTCCAGTTGCGATATAGCCAAGATATTTGTAACATCTTAGAGAAATAATAAAGTAACAGGGTTTTATTATCACTACTTATTGTATTTGTTGTTGCTTAGGTTTGAATGCTGTAAAGAAAGAAAACCTTAGGCTACTATATCTGATTCAAAGCACAGCCAAACAAGAATTTTTTAGAAATAAAACCTAAAACCTTGTGATTTTCAGTTTTACAGGAGAACATATATGAAGTTTTATTAGAATGTGCCAACAGTACTTGTAATAAAAAAAAATATATGGTGTTAACCTGGATAAAAAAGCCAACCAAACAAAAAAACCCCTGCGGATGTGAAATAAGACCACAAGTAAATCTACAAACATCAAAAGGCAATTTTGGCATGAAGAACAGAAATCTTTAATGTAAATATCTTTACACTAAAAAAAAAAAGATATGAAAAAATATCTTGCACACAAACAAGCCTGATGCTATCAAACAGAGGGCATGAAATGCAACCCTCAGGTAAAAGAAGCAAAACTCTATAGACACCTCCAATACCAAAAACTGAGAAGCTGTTTTAAAGGCAAGAGTACAAAAGGTGAAGAGCTGCACCCAAATGCTTTCACACATCAAAATACAACATCTTTCAAAACTCCACTGATATTTCCATAGAGACAGAAGAGAGCACTGGGGCTCTAACCTCCTGGCTCTTACCTCCTCAGTTTTCAGCAACTCCTTTTTGGAAGTCTCTTTCTCTGAAGCAGCAGCATAAACCTGGATAGAGAACAAGCTCAGGCCAACAGGGGTAGCCCCCAGCCGAATTATCTGGAAACATTACAGGAAGACATGAAAATAATTAAATTCAAACAAAATGGCAACATGTTTGAACACATCAATTTAGACAACGTTCATGTTCCCACATATGGTAATAAGTGATATATTAAGATGCTTAGGAGTTCAGAGAAATGGGAGTCTGTGGTACACAACCTTAATGCCTTCAGGGCACCCAAGTGATAACACCTAAATTGCTCGAATGGTACTTGTAAAAGCCTAAAGCTAAAGGAGACAGCAGATACGAAAGCTAATCTCATCAGTTTTCATCTCACAGAAACATCTTCTGTCTTGTCTCACTTGAAATATGATTTTCATCAGCTTTCTCTGTATAGATACTAACAACGTTATATTCATAATTTAAGCAACATTGTGAATGTCCATAGTTGGAACCCAGAAGTGCAGCATCTAGAGTTAGGAAATAAATGAGACTTACACTTGAAACTATCAGAACATAATTACTGTTCTCTAGGAATTTTAGGAATGTCTTCTACTTTTCTGTGAAAAAGATGAACTACAGTTCATCGTGACAGATGCTTCACTGCTTTTGAACACAACAGATTCAATCCAGTCACACAACATAGCCAGCATGAGTAAGGTGGATATCATTCTTCCAGTACTCAGGGCTTACGCCAAATTGTGTTTCTTAACAAGAGAGACTGTTTTAACTTAAAAAACAAAAGATAAAAATCTTAGCTGTGTAGTGAATCAAGAATGTACAGAAAGCATCTTCCAACACACACACATCCTTATTAACAGCAGTGTTTAACTCAAGAAACAGCAGCTCAAATGGGTAACCTTTAAATCTCTCATTTCTGTTACTGCTCAGACAAAGCGTGGAGTCACAACAGCCTGTGTTTTGTTGTGTCAGCTTACGGCATGAGTATCCGACATGAGGTCTACAGGATACAGCACGAGTTTTAACAGCCTGTGGCCACCAAAGTGGAGCAGTGTGGCTGTGCTGGTGGCCTCAGTTCCCAGAAGTCCTGCTGCTCATCCTGCCCTAGCTCTGGTGGCTGGACACTTCCACCACGAGGCAATTCACCTCACCAATTTGGCAAAAGATTAATTCTGAAAGAGAAGCAGAGAGCTTTCTGTGGGCTTAGTAATTGAACTCACACATGAAAGAGGCTGACAAGCACCAGAGGAACTGTGTGGCCAGGAAAGGGGATGAAAAAGGAGAAGGCAGCAAGCCCTCTTCCTTTTCAGAAATAGTAAGGGTACATTACATTGACCTAGCCGCTTGTGAAACTGAACCCTTGGTCAAACCAATACATCCTTCATGCTGTTATGATGATTACTGACCTATCCACAGGACAATTACTCATAAATTTTGTTTCTGTCCACTGCAGAACTGTTAGAAAATAGCTTTAAAGTTATCCAGACTGCTTATTCTGTACAGATCAGCACTTGTAGCTTTAATTTCTTCCACTGCTTTGCAGATGGAATATTTATTAAACATAACCAAGACACTCCTCAAACTCAAAATTAGACTACAATTGTCAAACTTCCTGAAAATCTTCATTTATGTGTGGTGAAACAGCACACAAGAACTAGGTCATAGGGTTGCTTTTCAGAAAGACATAAGGAATCTGATGGATCAGAAGGTACAGAAAAACTTGCTTAAAATTGAAGTTTTTCCTTATTTGAATTTATGGACTCATTATTACAACACCACAATGAAACATCACAATGACAAGATCAGCTGTTTCACAGCCAAGAAAGACATGAATGATCTTTAATAGTGTTTGCTTAAACAAAGACTTTTCACATACTTTTATTACCAAGATAAAAACATGAACACCACTAACCATTAATAGCTGTAGAATCTATTTCCTCAATCTTTCTTTTTTTTTCCAGTGCAAAACTGAAAACGCAGAAATCTAAATGCATTTTCATTCTGAAAAATATTTTCAAACAGTGTAAACAGTGCTACATGCCACCAGCAGAAAAAGTAAATCCAAATGCTTTAAATATTTGAGATATTTACATAAAAGATGCAAACAGCAGAGCTGAAGAACAGAAGCACCTTGGTTTCACAAACAAATCAGTGATCACAGAACAACTTGGACCAAACACATCAACTGTTCATACTACCAAAATACTGATGCAAAGACATTTTCCCAAGGTTCCATATTTACATTTTAAACAAAAGAAAATTAACCACTAAAAGTGCAAGATGAATCTCTCCTTAATGTTCTGTTTAAGCTATGTTGCACTGGTCCGCTGCATCAGCTAAGTTAAGGACAGATAGAACCACTACAAAAGCACTACATAAATGCACACACTGAAAGATTTATTTGGTAGTATTGGTAGTATTTGGTAGTAAAGATTAACTGTTCTGCTTTTCGTTTCCAAGACTCACTTTGGGATCTCATTTCTTAGTTCCATCTTAACCATGCATTACTAAACACACTGGTTCAGTAAAAAACCTTGACTGAGTCTGCCCGTCTTACAGCTGTGCAGCTGTACCAAAAAAGAGCTGACTTTCCTTTCTCTAGGCAATATTCTTCATTTACTTTAATAAAGATAAGGAATTTGTTCCTTTCTCTAGTTGAAGAATTCACCTTCATCTGTAGACATCAGATCACTTGTAAGCAAAATCTGAAAGTTGGAGGGAAAAAGACTATCGTATTTCATCTTCTATTGTTTTGCTTCACTGTCTTCCTCAAAGTTCTTGATTCTTAACTAAAAAATGCCTCTGGGAAGAAGAAATCCCATATTTATTGTCAATACAAATGGGAATGGAGAGCTAAAGATTAACCAGAACTTGTCTTTTTCCCTCTTGCCTGTGGCTTCTCAGTTCACTTGTTACTGTTACTGTCACCCTGTCAAAACCAGAGAAAGGAAGAACAAAAGGAAAACAAATCCCTAATCACACTTCTGTGAAGGCTGATATTTGTCCTAATGTATGAAGCTGCTTCATTTTTCTCTTTTTCTTTTCTTCCTTCTCTCAACCCCAACTAAAATAACAAAATCCCAGAACTCAGACTCTTGATCCCTCCTGTTCCCTTAAGGACAGTTATCAAGGACAAGAAGCCTCCTTCCCCTTTTGCTTTAGAGGTAAAAAAACAGGTTGGCCTGAAACACTGAAATCTGCTTAACCTCAATGGCTGTATAAAAGCAGTAATATTATACTCAGTACCTAAATCCACAGGTTCACACATAATGCCTTTAATGACAATTCAGTATTGCTTATGGAATTATCAACTCTGAGATAAAATCCCTACGTACATTCAGCAATTGTCGCAACATTAATATATATATATAAAAAGATTAAGTTGTGGCAAAAGACTGCTCAACATATCAATACATTGACATATTATCAATATCCGCCAAAAAAAAAAAAAAAAGGAATTAATTCCAAGAATCAAGCATCATCAGTTTCAATATGACTTAAACATACACCTTGCTTTTACCCTGAGGGGAGATCTCAGGCTGCTCTCACCAGAGACAAAGATTTTTGAGACAACTACCTGACTTAAATCCAGGGCAGCCACCTTACTCCTTTCCACAGATGTAGCTAACAACCCTCACTTCAGAGACTTTGAAGCCAGTCACAGCTGTTACGAATCCAGTAACATTAACTACAGCTCCATGCCGCCATATCCGAGAATTAACTTTAAATAACGAAATGAGGCCTCCATGTGTGCCTTTTTGTGCAACAGGGCCGGGGTACGCAGTTTTGAAATGTTAAAATGAGAGACTCTGTAGCTGCCACGAGTAAATCCAATCGCTTGTGGAAGTCACACACAAAACACCCGGGGCACGGCTGCCGCCTGATAATATGGATTTTAGGACGGTTTTAGACAGAACGCGAAACAATTCGCCAACCGAGTGACCAAAACCCTCCTTAAAGCGGGCGGCAGGAGGAACAAGGGTTCCTCCGGGCCGGAGCCCCCCACGCCCCGGATGCCGCCTCAGCGCGGGACCTCCGGCCGCGCTCCCGCATCGCCCCCTGCCGGCCTCTCCTCGCCTCGCCACGCCAGGCAAGGCCACCTCCAGAGCCATAGCCTGACGGCATCGCCTCTACCTCATCGCCGCCGCGGCAACTGGCATGTCCGGCCGCAAGGCCCGAGGCCGAGGAGGCGCCGAGGCCTGAAGGAAGAGGCCGCTGCTTGCCTCCACCGGGGCAGGGCCGGGCGGCGGGGAGCCCCGCCTGTGGAGGGGGGAGGCGGAGGAACGGGCGAGGAACAGCAACGGACTGCGACGAGGGCAACGGTTTCCTCACCTTGAACATGGCGGCGCCGAGCGGGCGGTAACCACCAGCCACGTCGCTGGGCTATGACGTCGAAGGAAAGGAACCCACGGGAGAGGCGGGACCGCTTGAATGAGACCAGGCAGCCGGCTCGGCCCCGCCCACCGGCGGCGCAGTAACCTGGCAACACTGAGGGGGCGGGGCCATGTGGCGCGGGGTGGGGGGGCCGCCCCTCAGCGCCGGCAGCGGCTGCCGAGTGGGGAAAGAGTGGGGATAAAAGTGTAGGAGCGGGTCTGAGGAATGGTGGCCTTAATAAAGGACCTCTCCTATGGAGACAGGTTGAGAGAGTTGGGCTTGTTCAACCTGGAGAAGGCTCTGGGGAGACCTTAGAGCAGCTTCCAGTACCTAAAAGGGGTTACAAGCAAGCTGGAGGGACTTTTGACAAGGGCACGTAGTGGGATAGGACAAGGAAGAACAGCTTTAAACTGAGTAAGGGTAGATTTAGATTAGATGTTAGGAAAAAATTCTTCACTGTGAGCGTGATGAGGCACTGGCACAGGTTGCCCAGAGAAGCTGTGGCTGCCCCATCCCTGTCAGTGTTAAAGGCCAGGTTGGACGGGGCTTTGAGCAATCTGGTCTAGTGAAAGGTGTCCCTGCCCATGGCAGGGGGATTGGAACTGGATGAGTTTTAAGGTCCCTTTCAACACAAACCGTTCTATGATGTTCAGATATTCAGAGATGTCTCAGTGCCAGCAGAATTCGGATGGGGCTAGAGCATGGAGACCAAGATGGGGTTCCCTGCCTTTCTAATCTCAAAAAAATCAATTAAAACCCACCACTACTACCCTTTTTTCTGTGTCTCAATGCTACCTGGTTTCTGCAGCTGAGGATGTGGCATCTCCCAGCTCACTGGAGCAAGTTGGACAAGAGCAAGTGTTTACACTTGCATCTGCTGTGCCTATCCCCACGCTGTCCAGCTTGTTACCTGGCAGTATTAGAACATCAGAAATGACAAGTACTAAGTTCCTGTCAGATAAAACAGGCCAAGGTAATACTGCATTTCGATTTAAATCCCAGGAGATCTGTTCCCATGATGTCAGTTAATAAACTGCTTATTTTTTTTTTTTTTTTATTTGCTGGTCAGGAATTTCCACCTTTTTTTGTGTTTTAAGATCTTTCTCAGCACCCAGGGCCAATGCAGCAAATGTGGAAAAAGAACAGTAAATCCATCAAATTAAGTGAATTAATTCATGTGTCATAACTTTCTGATCAGTTACTGGGATCTTTCTTTTTAACATTGTTAAAGATATTTATCCTCATACTTAAATTTTGGTCATGTAACACCGCATTTCAAATGCAAACAAGTGCCTTGCTTTTGCTGAATAACGTTCATTTTTCAGTAGCAGTGAAAAAATTACCTTGAAGCTTAGTACAGCAACACTTGAAAGCATTAGTCTGTATTTTCTGTTCACATTAACTGTAATGTGTGGAAAATGTGGGCTCCATACACTGTGCCATACACTAGACACCCTGGTTCTGCTGGGGGGCCACTCCATCAGGAGTGGGGCTGAAGGGGTGATTCAGGCTGCCCAACTTCTGAAACCTCACAGCCTTTAGAAACCAAGCCTCTGCTGCCTTGGGATGAACTGGACACAGGCTGCACTGGTGGGTTCACTGCACCCCAATTCTGCTTTGAAGTGCACTCTCACCTCCTCCCTACCGCTGAGAGAGAAGCCTACGCTCCTGGTTTAGACACATAAGAACACCAAGAAAATAACATGAATCCTCTATTTATGATTTTTTTCAAGTCCCCAAAATATTACAGTAATTTAAAACAGTTAATACTGATTTTAGAATATGAAGCATAGCATGCTATTAGTGCTGGAAAATGTTATAAAAGAGAATTTTTACATAAAAGGTAAAGCACATGAGGAATACGGTAGCAAACAGTTCATCAGGAAGGGTACTGTAGGAAGACAGACGAGGTATGCACCCTCTTACCATCTTAAATTTTCTTTGTGATGACTTTTTCTGTTCTCTCATAAAGAAAAATCCTACATTTCTTTATTGAAGTCTCTTTATAGACCTGATAGAACCAGCATTAACAGGAACAAGTACTTTCTAGACTAATGGGGATGTTTAACCACTGCATTGCAGTATTGGGTGATGCTTCTCAACAAGCTGTCTGTAAAGTCAGCAGACAGTCCTTCTTGTTTGCTGGCACAGTGGCTTATTGTCAGGATCAATTTGAGATAAAGTAAGATGACTTCAGGTTTGTGCCTTTCCTTTTTAAAGCTTTGTTGCATTTTCCTGCTGTATTTCACAGGCAGCAGCTGATCCTTGCAAGTTAATGGAATATCAGAAATACCATGAACAAATGGCACCAGACAAGCTTCAATACCCAAACTACAGGATAACAGATGATAACGATATTTTATTACAGATTTGGTTATGAAGATTCCCTCTTCAGAGAGGAATATTTATATCTAAAATGCACGTGACCAATAGGTGAATCATGCTAATGGGCCTCTTTCTTCACTGCGTTATGCTTTGCACAGTCAGCTGTATCTGTGGAAAACAAGCAACCAGTGTGCAGCAAATAGTTGTAGAAAGCCAATTTTGCAGTATTTTATGGTAGTTTTGTGAGATTGCGGAGAGTGACCACACAGTTTCAAAGCAGTCACATTTTGTGATACATTTTATTCATCCTCAAGGAGTTAGAGAAAGAACATTTTCAAAGCTCAAAATGACAGGAAAGCAATGAGAGGAGTGATGGCACTGAGGTGAATAATGCTGCCTGCTCTTGTTAGTTCTCAACCAAAGTGAAGTCCCAGGCTGTGGCTGGAGCCAGTTGTTCCCCAATTTTACAGAGGAGAGATGTAAGAAAATTTCAAGTGCATTCTCTTTTTAAGTTTGGTACAAGAACAGTAAAGAAAATTCCAATTGTTTATGGACATACAATGGTGCATATATTATAAATACATATTTTTGTGATCAGTTTATATTTGGTGACAGCACAATTATTGATACAATTATGTAATACAGATGTAAATACCTTAAGAACAGATGGTTGGTTTTGGGTTTTTTAACCAAACAATTTTATCTGCTCCAGCATCTTCAGTGCATTTTTTTTCTTCAATCTTTGAAGTGATTGATCTGACTGATTAAAATGAATGGGAAAACCTTTATAGAGAAGAACAACACAAATATATTCTCTTTCCTGTAGTTGTATTGTTCTCTTACAGCCTACCAGTAATCTGGTTGAAAGCCCTGTGTACCCTGGTGGCAGGAATAACTGCTGGAGAAGGTTGCCTCTGCAAAATCTCCCTGGAACAACAATAATACATGCCATAGTGGATTATGCACATTCCAGAACATTGTCAGAAAGGCTTAAAAAGGAGCTGAAGTTTCTGCTGCTGAGGCCAGAGCATCAAGAGCTTTGGCATGATCAGCTCCTGGCTGTTCCTCATGTAAGAACCTATACCAAGTTTCAGCTTCATTTTGCATGCCAGTGTTTTTCGTTCCCTTGGTATTTGGCTTTTCTACACACTTGTGAAATAAATATTTCCATTAGAGAGGCAGCTCAGAGAAGCTTGAAAATGTTGCCACAGTTCATAAACTACACCAGCCTGTGCAGAAATACAGTTTAAGAAACTTGATCTCTAATCCTCTGCCTTAACCATTACAGTCTGAGCTTTCACAATGTCATATTACATTTCTTATTTACAGTTGAGGTTTGCTTTTTTTTGTTAGGAAAACAAGAACAGCCCTTTACTAGTAATACAATGACAGTTACTTGCCACACATTTGTAAGTACAGTAGGAAAAAAAGGTATTTGTTGCACATACCTGTTAACATGACTTTGTAACATCTGCCCATTAAATATCTGTGCAGTTACCCACTCACACTGATCATTGGAAAACACAATTCTGAAAGGATGGATTATTTTGATGTTCTCCTTCATGATAAACTTGCTGTATATTAAAAAAAAACAAACCAAAAACCAAACAATAAACCAAAACCCAACATGGTTTGTCCATGCACCTTTTATTCACTAAAATAAATTAATTTTTAAATACCAGAACTTGCCACTGTGGTTTTGTCAGCCTGTTTGGAATTTATTTTTGAGGTCTTCATAAAATAAACTGCTTTTCTGCCTCTTGAAGGGTTTTGTGTTATGTTTTAAGTTAAAATAATGCTGTTTGGCAGACCTCTCCAAGTTCTTTTGAAAATATGTAGAAATACACAATAGAAATAATAGAAAATACACAATGACAAAGGCTTGGGAAAACTCAACGTTCAGTTGTTAAGCAGCTTCATCTACCACTGTGAGCCTGCCTTGCTAAATGCTCTGCACAAAGCACAGCTGGAAGAGACATGTCAGGCAGGTATATAGCTTTCCTAGGTTGGTGTCCAAAGCACACAATCTGTATCTCATGTTCCTGTCACTTTTAGCATGTATTTGTTAAACAACTAATTTAAGTGGCTTTTAAAGGGGTCATGAGGATGGAACTTTCCCAGTGCCTTTATGAAGGAAGTGTAGCTCGCATTCATAACAATACTCTTTCTTTCTAATTTATTCACTTTGCAACTTGAAAAAACAAAGAGGGGGAAGGGGTTTGAACAGATTTTTGTATTTGTCAATACTGTTTTATTTGGAGTGAAACTTACCTTCTGCTTTTGCTTTTCATATTTCAGATGGGTCATTTTTCAGCATTTGTCAGAGGTGCTATTTTGGCAGCTATGAGATCTGAAGTCCTACATTCAGAAAACAAACTGAATGTTAAGGACAGATACCACTGTAGAGTTCTTTGTGCTTTCCCACTGCCTACCTTTAACTGCAGCAAAGGCATTACTGCATTCACATCTGGGATAAACCAGCTGTCTCATCAGCTTTGTCATGTTCTGACAGCATTCAAAATATACTCAGTGCTTTCCACATAAGGATCCTATATTCTAAGACAAGGGACAAGTAGAAAAGAGAAACATATCATGCAAAAACCCAGTGTAATCCAACTGCTCATAGTTTTACTTTTGATATCACCATGGTTAAACACACAAACGTTCCTTCCTTAACTCAAAACCTTGACTTCTCACTGCAGCCATCAGTAGCTCTAGGTCCACATTTGTCAATTACTCCCTTCCAGCACAGACAAGTGATTTTTCT